ACACACACACACACACACATATTATACATATATATACACACACATATACATATATATATAATGGAGTATATATACATACATATACAATGGAGTATTACTCAGCCATGAAAAAGAATGAAATATTGTTATTTGCAGCAACATGGATGGACCGAGAGATTATCATATTAAGTGAAATAAGTCAGACAAATATCATTTATATGTGGAATCTAAAAAATGATACAAATGAACTTATTTATAAAAAGAAACTCATAAGAGACTCACTGACATAGAAAACAAACATGGTTAACAAAAGGGAAGGGCAGGGGAGATAAATTAGGAGTATGGGATTAACAGATACACACTACTACATATAAAACAGATAAACAACAAGAATTTACTGAATAGCACAGGGAACTATATCCAGTATCTTATAATAACCTATAATGGAAAAGAATATGAAAAGGAATATATATATACATATATATAACTCAATGACTTTGTTGTACACTTGAAACTAACACAATATTGTAAATCAACTGTACTGCAATTAAAAAGCAGTCACTTTTACAGTTGAGTTTGAGCTTCGTGGCCAGTCTTCTCTGCAGTCGGCAAGCTGCTCAGCTGTCCCCTGGACCCCCAAGGAGCCATGGTCAGCACAGTCCCAGGTGGCTCCGTGGGAGGGAGTGACCCTAGTTCTGTGCTCACAGCTCCATACCGGCTCCTCTGGCCCTACTCTGGACTAAACCTTCCCCCACCCTGGATGCATCTGGGACAGAAGTCAAGGGCAGGAGGGCACAGCAACCCAGCCACCCCAACACCCCAAGTGTTCCTATCTTAAGGGACCCATGTGCCCAGAGGACAAAGAACGGCCAACCAGGCTGGGAAAGAAGGCGAAGCTGGAGGGCAGGGGACAGGGAGGTACCTGTGGAGGGACTTGAGCAACTGGCTGCAGGGGCACCGGTGGCATCTGGAGCGGCTTCAGCTGAGCAGGGGCCACCACCTGGGAGGCTGGAGCCAGGTATGGAGGCAGGTGAGGGGGCACTGGCTGGAGAGGGCCCACGGGTTGTGGGGCCAGGACCTGTGGCAGCGATACCGGCTGGGCCAGCAGAGGAGGCTAGAAAGAGAAGGGGCTTCCCTTACACCAGCACCCTCCTGAGATACCCCCATGTGCTTAGACACAGCAGAAAAAATCAACTCACACACATATACCGACATGTATGCTCAAACACCCAGCCTAGAGCCTGGGACACACAATCTGGGAGAATTATTCTATGCAACGGGGGCCCTCTGAGTGTGATGGAGCCCTGAACTCCACAGAAACAAGAGACCCGCCCCCACTCCCATCTACTCCCTGGTCCCAGGAGAACTGCAGAGAAGGGGCACGGGGGCCTGGACCTGCCAGGAGGCTCACGGACCCCGGGCTCGGGCCAGCCAAATGGACAGGCAGGGTCTGGGGGACCAAGGCACTGATGGTGCTCATAAGGAGGGGTAGTCAGCACCTACCTGGTGGCCAGCGGGTGTGGGCTGGCCTGGGCCCGTGGGCACAGGGGCGCTGGGTGGCGGCAGCACAGGGGCAAAGCTCATGGCCGACTCTGGGAAATGCTGCTGTGGGAGCGAAGGGTGTGTAGGGGGTGGGACAGAACCCACCGACGGGCCAGGCTGCAAAGAGCACCCAGAGCCGCGCTCAGCAGCGGCCCTGAGGATCCCTACCCAAGCACACACTTGACATCCACGGGGACCCATCTCTCAGCCCCCATGCCTGCCGGCCTGCCAGGGTCACTTATCCTACGGACAAGATTCAGGAGAAGCAAGGTGCGGAGGCCCCCAGACCGAGAACGGCCACACCGCCCAAGCAGGGAATGTCCTAGAACAGCAGCTCCAGAGTATCATGCAACCATGAGAAAAGACCATTAAGAGACTTGTGGAACCCTTTGTGGCACCACGAGAAACGCTTGTTTTGACATTAAACGAAGGGAAGATAAAAATGCATGTCTCTTGTTTACAGGATTATATAAAAATGTATACATGCGGTTATATTCGCAGACCATGAAAACATGGGAATAAACGTCAGGACAGAGCCAGAGCGTGGGATGCTCTTAACAGCCAGGAGTCTCCAGTGACTCGCCCATTAGGAGGGAACGAGGGACAGGAGTGAGCCCTCACTGCCAGGGGCAGCACAGACACAGACTGGGGAAGTGCCGGAAATCTGAGCACTGGATGTCTGATGCCGCCAAGAACGGCTGCTAACCTGTTGATTTTTAGGTGCAATAATGGTACTGGGCTTTGTTTTCAGAGTCTTGATCCAGCAGAGATACAGACAAATATTTGGGGCCAAAATAGCTTTCTGTCTAGGGTTTACGTCAAAATACTAGGGATGTGAGAAGCAGGTGAGGGCGGCGGAAAAAACAGATTCGAACACAGGTAACTTCTGAAGCTGAGAACCTGGTTCCGCGCAGGCGGCCTGGAGCCTCAAAGGAGCGGCTCATACTCTGGTCCCAAGGGCACATCACCATGGTGACCCTCCCCAGGAGCCCTGGGGCAGCCTGGGGACCCCCTCCAACGCCACCCTTCTGTCCAAGGTGTTTGTGTGTAAATAGGCAAGACACGGGAGAAAGCGCTCCAGCCCAGTCTGGCCGGTGCATGCTGGCTGGGCCCGGGACCTCCCTGTGCTCGGGCGTCCTGGCCCGTGAGCCGAAGCTGGGATAGATGCAGCGCAGCAGGGACCCGGTGGAGAGCGCAGTGTGGCCAGGGAAGGTCTGACCCTGCACCAGGAGGGACGAGGGCCAGCAGAATGCCCTGGCTCAGCCCCAGCACGGGCGACCTAAAGCCAAGAACCAAACCACCACTCTGAGAAGCAGGTGGCCCTTTTGTAAATGAACTCTTCCTGTGTAAAATCATATTTTATTTCATTTAATGAAATGAGTCAAACTGCAAATGTAAATTGCTAACAAATCCTGGGCTCCAGTCAGCAGAGGCAAATGCTTCAACTTAGTCTTTCCAAAGTGTACAAATTACACCACAGGCATAACACGGACGCCCTTTCAAGTGCTACTTCTCAAACATCACTGAAAATGTTTCCCGTGGTTTGGTCGTTCATATACCTCCCTTCTGTCCCCCCATACCTCTAACTCTTAATGGCTGCCTAATATACAGTGGAGAAATGCCAGGAGATACTTAACACTCCCTCAGTGAAGCTGGACCCTGAGACAAAATCAAAGGCTTTATTACTGTAAGTGATGCTTTTCTGTCACCTTTGCAACAGTCAGAAGTAACTTCGACCCTGCCAGCTTTAGCACAGATGTGCCAGCACTGGGCGTCGCTGGGCTGTCTGTGGTATTTCCTCATCTGGCAGGTCTTTCAGGGTGCATCTCGGGCTGCTCCCGCCTGCAGCCCTGCAGTTACTGGCCAGGATGCCCCTCCGGTGGGCCTGCTTTCGTATGGTGGGAACTGACCATGGACCAGCACAGGCTGGACGGCCCATCACAGACGGGCCGTGGGGACGGGGACGCTGGCCCGAGGGGGCGTGCTGACTCACCGCAGGAGGCTGGTAGGCCCCCAGGGAGGGCAGGCCGTGCGGCAGGACAGGCCCGTCACTCACGCTCACGGGGGGGCTGCACACACACTGGCTGGGGGGCGGGGCTCCATCCGCCAGCGAGCCCAGCACCACGCTCTGCTGGCTGCTTTGCGAGTCCGAATACACTGTGGATCCCTGGCCACTGTCGAACGTGCTGTCCGCTGGGGAGGGAGGACAAAGGCATGGCTCAACGCAGGCACCCCCAGACGTTCCACACAAGTCTCGGGGAACGCAAATGTGGGCTAGCCTGTCCGTGCGTCTTCTGCAAAACCAAGACTTGGTTGCATTTCCAGATCACATACATAGTAAATGTGTGACATTTTAAACAGTCAAGTCTAGAATGTTACGGGGGCGGTAGTAGCACCAGAAGTGGCCCTAGCAACCTGAGTCCCCACCGCCTGACATCGACAGGAGCCCACCGTGGGCCACCACGGATCCCAGGTGGGCACCTCGCACCATCCTCCGTAGGCAGGAGAGCCGCCCCACGGGCTCACAGCCAGGGACCTCACCTGGTACTTGACCTGGCCTTATAGAGGGTGCTCTTTCAGCTCTTCAAAGGCACGAGATGGATTGTCCAAGTTAGGAAAAGCTATAGTCACACAGAGGAAATAATGATCACCTGTGTTTCATGGGGAGGGGTGTCTCAGGACCCCGACCACCTTCACTCAGCACAGCAAAGAGCCTGAAGTGGGAAGATCTGGGTCCAAATCTGGCTCCTCTCTTCATGGGCCCTGGTCTAACTTGGTTGGAAAATGGGGCTGACGAGGCCACCACATCACAGAGAGGCCATGAGAGGGGGACCTGGAGGCCCCACAGCCCAACGCAGCACCCCCTACTCCAGTAAAAGGCCAGCCTCACCCAAGACAAGCCAGACTGGCCCGTCAAACCCAGCCACAACAGAAGGAGCAGCCTGCGCACGGGGGCACGGACAGAAATGCCACGGCACACGGGCTCGCTTCACCAAGACGCACCTGGGAAGACAGGGCACCCGCACGGCCAGGCCAGTCAAGAATGAAGAGCAAAAACCTGTCTGAGGTGGCACTCTGGTTTCACTGCCTCCAAGAGCTACACAAGCATTCAGATTTGCCACCTATGAACGCCAAGCTATTTCTACAGGAGATGCCTTTCAGTGCCGGCATTATGTCCATGTATAATTTAAACAAATAAAAAAGGGACTCTTATTGGCTTTCCAACAAAATGATCTTTCCCAGGGGCTGGTCAGAACTGATTCTGACCTAGTAAGACATAAGAATGCTGAGGTTTGCTTGTGCAAAACCAATTAAACAACTGGCCCTGATTTCTGATGAGGTGGCTGGTGGCCATTTCTGCTTACACAGAGGGAGGAGAGAGACAGAGTATGTGCACATGAGGGAGAGAAAGAGGGTGTGGGCACATGAGAAAAAGAGAGAGAGATCAGACCAAATTTCAAGGAAAGCGACTCTAACCATATATGTAACATTTTATATTTTTTAAGTGATGATATCTATTATTGGTATAATTAAAAATTAATTTTAAAAATCATGTTTTAAACCTGTTGACAAATTGCATTCTTGCCGTCATCAGGTGCTGGCCCCGTCTTGAGCCTGATCTGGACTGTGGTGAGTAGCTAACAGAACCCATAGTGGGGAATCACACAATATGATGTCTGCTGCACCTTCTGACATATGGAAGCGTGACTGTGAGCCCATCTTGTCACCTAAGACCGGGTTCTTTCTCCAGTGACGTGTGGGCTGCTTGGCGTCCGCACCCATTCACCTTCGTGAAGCACAAGGTGGTCCAGCCAGCCACAGGCACTGTGGCCAGGGGGATGGCTGAGCACAGACTTCCTGTTCTGACCCACAGCAAGTTACAGAAGAGCATGTGCAGGGTGCCGTGGGTCGTAGATCAGAGGGAGACACGGGTGTGTGTGCGTGTGCGCGCACTTGCGTGTGTGCTTAATGCACTGTATACACGCACGTGCACATGCATTTGTGTGGGTATGTGAACAGGTGTATGTATGTGTGCATATGCTTGCTGAGTGCATGTGTGATAGATTGCATGTACAGATTATGTCTGGAAGTTATTACCTCTGGAAGTTACAGTTAAAAGATGCATAATATCAGTGACATCCAGACAGGAAAATTAACCAGCTTCTGCTGTATACTCTCTTCGACTTTCTCAATTTTATACAATGTGACTTTATCATCTACTTTAAAGAAGCTACAATAAACAGGTAAAAATGTTTTTGAGAAGTGCAGCTGTGGTAAGCCCACTCTAGCCAGACAGGAAGGGAATCTGTCTGCAGACAGAACGCCCACCCCAAACTGAACGCGTCCCATCTATACAGGGGGCCACACCTGTATCGTGACACACCTGACCACAGCAGAGCCCCTTCAAAGTTCAACAGAAGGAGATTTCTTAATTCCTGCCCCAGAACTTGTCAACCAACAATTACGTTTTTAAAATAGTGAGTGGTATATCAAGTGTGGAGAGTTCTTTCCTACAAAAAGTTTACGTTCTTGCATTAATTTTTTGGTTTATCAGAAAATGGAGCAATGACACAGTGAGTCCATTCTCCAAAGCAAACGTGAGCAAGTTGGAGGGAAGCAAACAGCAGGCAAACTGTCTCAAAGTGTTGGCCAGCTGCTGGTTTGAATTTACAGTTTCTGCCTCTCTTTGAAGAATGGTTAGCTATTTTACTGATAAATCAAAGGATATAATTATTAAATGGATTAAACAGATTATTTTGGTCTTTCCACACAAAAGCCCTGAAATTGTGGCCTGGATAGGCTCGGCTCTGCAATTCTCTGTGCTCAGTCACAGAACAGACAGATAGGAAACATCTTCCATCCTCAGCTCACAGCTGAATTGTTAGTACACTGAGAGCACAGGCAGGACACTTTTCCACCTAGACATGCAGAGGACACTGGATTCCCCCTCCCAGCGGTCTGAGATGAAGCCAGGTACACAGTGACTCCCACCAATCCATCCGTGACATTCCCTGGGAAATGTACTGAAGGTCTCAAAGGTCTCAAAGGTTAGGTACCAAAACAGAGATAATCTTGGGGACGACAGTCCCAGCAGCAAAAGTCACAGCCAAGACCATGACATGACCGCCCAAGGCTGTAGTCATCGGCAGCCCCAGGGCCACAGCAGCTGGCAGGGACAGCGAGCCCAGGCTGAGGTACAGCCCTCAGGTGCCCTGTGAAGTTGGGACTGATACCTTCCAGGTGGGATGAGCAGCCGGCCAGACTGGCCCAGCTCCATCCGCACCGGCTCAGGGACCAGGGAGGTTCTGGGTCTGTCTGCACGTCTGTTCCCCACCCATCCTAGGAGGCTGGACTTCAGGGAGCCTTCAACCCCTCTGGTCACAGATCTCTTTGCAACGCAGAGATGCTTCCAAGCCCCTCCCTGGATGAATGCTGGTCCACACCAATCATCCATGCCCGCAGGCTGGGCTGGAGGGAGTGGGGGACGGGGGGACACAGGAGGAGGGCAGCACTCACAGGCCAGGGAGGTGGCGCTGGCCGGCAGCGCAGTGGGGAGGAGGTGCTGGTCGGCCTCGGGCTCCTCGGGCTCCAGCGGCCCGGCCTGTGAGTGGTAGGTCACCTGGACCTGCAGGGGCATGGCCGGGCCCTTGGCCTTGTCAGGGCTGCCGGGGTCCCGCTGCTCCTGGGGCTGCAGAGCTGGCCAGATCCTCTTCCGCCGCCACTGGATCAATGCCACGCGGTCACGGATGGACTTGGCCACAATCTTCAAGTCACTCTCGTGGAAGAATCCTGACTCAATCTGCAAAGGAGATCACCACATTGTTACTGGGATCAGCCCCACCTGCATGCCCCACTACCAGGCCAGCCCTGCCGTCTGTGCTACCGCCTCCTGCTTGTGGGGGGTCTCTGCCCAAAGTCCCCTCCTTGGACCCCTTGCCCCCATCACCAAGCTCATTCTTTTCAGGGACACTCCTGTCACTGACTGTAAATTCACAGGGAGAGTGACCATCTAAGCTTACACTGGCCCAGCTCCTGGGGCAGACAACACAGCAGGTGCTCATAACATGGGCTGGATGAGCGAGGATGTGGGGGGACCCTAGTCTGCCTCCTGCAGAAATTCAGAGCAGCCCCCACTGGCTAGGCCCCAGGGGTTTCCTGAAGCCCCTTGCTCAGGCTGGCCGAGGGCAGGAAGGGGGTCCTGGCCTCATCTGTGTGCTCAGGAACAGGGACAAGGAGGCTTGGCCAGTGCTGTCCGCAGTGCTGCCCCGGGCACTCTCTGAGCAGTCAGAGGCCATGGGAAGTAGGCATATTTCGTAATTGGAGACTGGGAAGCTGTGCACGCATGCCTAGGAAAATTCTGAACCCAGTTCACCCAAAGGAGTGTGTGAGAGCATTTATACAGGAGTCGAAGATCTCCGGGAAACATCACAGCGCTTTCTGAGGATATTTACAGCAAAACCATGAAACAGCAAAAGCCAGGCTCCTTGCCATCAGTGTGGGATTCCCCATGTGAAATGGGAGAAAACCACAGAAAAACCCTGCGGTGCTGGATGGGAGTTGCGTGAACTCAGGGTTTTCAATGTACAACGTTGAAATGCACGGGATGTAAGTGCAAGTGTGCACGTGCATGGTGTACGTGCACAAACACAACTGCACAGAACACGTGGGCCTCTGAACCACCCGTGGAGTGGGCCTGGGGCAATGACAGCTGAAAACGCAGCATGGCCACCATGAGAGGACATGGCTCACCACAAAAGGGCAGATTCAAGCTTCCAGGGAAAGGACGAGGGGACCAGGACACCTCACTGTGCCTGAAATCGAGGACGTGCTTGGAAGTGACATGGGAGCCAGCACCCAGGGCCTCCCACTGGCCAAATCTGGGACATTCTGAACACCAAAATAAACAGTGATGTGGTGACGGCTTGAAGGACGTGTCCACAAATGCACGTGGGAGAAATGCAAGTGATCTGCGGTGACAGAAGTGATGGGTGTCACTGCCAGCACAAAGGGGGGCCATATATATGTAGTCCCTCAGTTTCTGTCTCTCTGTATCTCTCCCTCTCTCTGTCTGCCTGTCTCTCTCCTGTGGACCACTTGCTCCTGTGAGGCCATATCATGACCAGCCCTATGGAATGTCCCAGCTGGATGGGAACTGAGTCTCCCGCCACCAGTCAGGTGAGCAAGAACGGACGCTGACCCTCACCTCCGGTCTGCCCTGGCGGACAGTCTGGCCACACCTCACGAGGGGCCCTGAGCCAGAAGCACCAATTCCTGACCTTAAGGACCATGCAAGCCCGTAAGCATGTACAGGGCTGTGTTTGAAGTAATTTGTTGGCAGAGATAGGTTACCTCACCAACAGCATATGACCTACTGAATAAAAGAGAAACCACGAGCCCACAGGGATGTAAATAAATGGAGAGTTTGGGGGAAATGGGATATTTACATGGTTTCAAGGTACCTCCCCACAAGATCGCTATTTACTGTCACTGCATGTGGGGAACCCTGGCAGACAATGTCAACTGAGCTCAGGGAGTGTCCTGGGTGGGCTGGCCATGGTGAGCCACCCATGAAGGCATCCCGAGACAGTGCGGACCCTGGGTGGGGCTGGGCTGCTCTCGGGGTTCTGACACCCACGGTGGCCATTAGCAAAGTCCCCATCTGTGGGAAAGACACGGATGTACTCAGGGTCAGTCCGGAGATGGTATCTCACAGGGCTGCCTCGAATTTTCAACTTTTTTTTTGTAAGTTTGTGATTACTTGGAAAACTCATTTCTGAAGACAACTGCATCTGAGGGAATGAATTGTGCTGAAGTCCCACAGACACCCTCACCGAGGCCGCCCTGCCAGGCTCAGCCCAGGACGGCGACAGAGGCGCGAGCTGGGCTGAGCGCGTGGTCAGGACCTGCTGAAGAGGCAGAGCCGGGGTTCGGCACCCACCCTCAGCGCCGCCCACCTGGGCGACCTGACCAGAGGTCCCTGAGAAAAGGCATCCCACAGACACAGCTGCCTGCCATCTCTATTTTTGGCCCATGACCCATTTTCCCTTCCGTCCCATCTTCACAGTCACCCCCTGGTGATTCTCTCCAAGGTGTTTCTTCAATTTTTTCTCAAACAGGAGAGAACCTGGCCACATTCCATGCCACACTGGAACATCTTACTTTCTGCAGGCTGTGAAGGCGGAAGGAAGGGCTGGCACCACAGACAGGAGAATCCCCTGAGCGAGGCTGCAAGACCCCTCCCCTTCCTTCCCGGCCTGGGGGTCTAAACGAGGGGTTACTTTCAGATCAAAGCCGGCCCAGATCCCCAAGGAACCTGCCCTGCTCTCAGCCCTGGGGCATCTTTGTTCGGATTCACATCCGCACAGAGGCCGGCCTCCACCCGTGTCCCCCATCCACCACTGGTGCCCCACCACCCACCCTTCCACCGCCTGCAGGACCTGTTCGGAGGTGACTGCAGAGGGAGGAAAGAAAACTGTCCCATCGGCCTCCCTCCCACCCCCGGGGAGCCTCAAGGAGGCAGCCTCATCCGGGTCCAGGACATCTTCAATACTCAGCACTCGCTAATCCCAGGGGCTAACAACGGGGCAGCCCAGGCCTGGTCCGGGTCCTAGAACTGGTGACACCCCTGTGCTTCCAGGGCATTTCCTTCGTGAGGTTACCATCCGTTTATGATAACCAACATTGATGTTTCATTTGTAGTCATCGCCTCTTTAAATTAAGTTTTGAAGAACTATGTGTATTGAGTTAAAGCTGTCAGCAAGTGCCGACCCAACAGAGCAGCCTGGCGGGAGGGAGCCCTGAAACGCTGCCCCACCTAGGCCCCTTCAGGGCCCAGACAGCTGGCCCAGGGACAGCCCAGGAGGGGCCCAGGCAGCTGCTACCAGGACCCCAGGGAGAAGGAGAGCCCAGACCCCCGAGTTGGTTCTGGTGTTTACAGATGGGCGGGGAGGTGGGGGAGTGGGGACCGGAGGGGGAGTCAGGCCCTAGGCAAGGGCCTCGGGACCAGTGCTGAGCTGCAAGGCCCAGCCAGGAGCCAGGAGCAGCGGCCAACCCGGGCACTCACGTGAGAGAAAACGCCACCACGGGGGGACGGCCACTTTCAGCTCATCACAGGCGCCTCCAAGGCTCCGGGCTAATTCTGTTTCTTCAACAGAGCCGTGAGCATGTAGTTTTAGTTTTGTTTTGTTTTTCCTTAACTGAACACAGTGATGCACCCTCTCCTACACAGATGTCATAAGGCACGGACGATGCGCCCCATGAAAAGGTGCTTTGAAAGGAGACAGAGGAAGGGGAGGAGGAAGCACGGAGCCCAGGGCCTCCAGTGTGAGCTCCTGGAGACACCTCCCGACCATGAGTCCTGCCAGGACCCAGGGACTTGGTGAGGACGAGGCCGTGGCTACAGGCACAGGCATGAATGCAAGGCCCTGGGGATCCTTCTCTGCAGCAGGAGGCAGAGAAGGGATGAGTCCTCTTGGGAAGGTGGGCAGGTCATGGGAAGGAGCCCAGACCATGTTTGGCGCCACCATCTTATAACTAAAGAGTGTCTGGAACAGAACCGAGAACCGAGCCGGGGCTGGAGGAGGTACCCGGTCCAGCAGACAGACAGCACTGTCCGTCTGGGTCTCCGGTGCCTCCAGGACACGCCGCCACGTGGAATCTGTGTCATCCTTAAGCCATCACTATGCGATGCTCGTAGGGGAACGAGAACGCTGCTCACGTCCTGTGCTTCCTGCCTGCGCCCCGGCCTCCGCAGCCCCGATAGACACGTCTCCTCAAGGCGGCCCCAGGGATCTGCCACAGCTCCATGCAGGGCTGTCCCCCCGAGGCCTGATTCCCCTCCTCCTGTCACCGGGACAGCTGGAGCTGCTGGCCAGGTACCCCAGTCCCCAAGGTCCCTCCAAGACGCTCTCCACACGCAGCCCGCACTCCTGAATCTCAGCTCATAGGCTACCAGTCTGCACACCACCTTGATCAGTACTTCTGTTTGCACTTTAAATTTCAGCAAGAAGCATGAAGGGACCACGGTGTCACAGAACAGAGAAACAGATATCCTGAATTCACAGGACTGCTGTGCTGGTAATCATCTTTTTAAAAAAAAAAAAGTTTAATGTGGAATCTAATACAAATAAATCTACATACAAAACAGGGGGAGGTATAGCTCAGTGGTAGAATGTGTGCTTAGCATGCACAGGGTCCTGGGTTCAATCTCCAGTACCGCCATTAAAATGAATAAGTAAATAAACCTAATTACCTCCCCCTCAAACAAAAACAAACAAACACACAAAAAACCCATATATACAAAACAGACACAGACTTAAAGGCGTAGAAAACAAACTGCAGCTACCAAAGGGGAAAGCAGGGAAGAGGGATGAACCAGGAGTACGAGATTAACAGATACAAACTATTATACGTAAAATAGATAAGCTGATAATAATCTTAATGCAACAGCCAGCAAATACGCAGCCATTCAACAGCGCCCCACGGAAGGTCATGGAAAGATCCTCCCAGAAGCATGGAGCTAAACAACCCCATTAAATCCGATTACAGCAGAGGTGTCTGTTTCTGGGCCCAGGAATGTAACCAGCAGCTGGGAAGGAGTCCTGCCGTGGCTTCTAGGCCATCAGCGACGCCACACCCACCACACATGCCAGACGCAACAGGGGCACAGGCTGCTGTCCAGCGGAAGGGAGGATGCTGGCTGGCCATGCACCGCCCCCCTCAACCCATGTCCTGCAATGACCTGCTGCATCACTTACATCAAGCGCCAGGGATCCCCCACCTGACATGTGCCCAGCCCCCACCTCCTGAACCCCGCCTTGGTCTGTGGCACCCACACCTTATATGGCATGGCCAGCCTCAGTTTCCTCATCTGAGCAGGGCTCCAGTGTCCTACTAGGGTCCAAGGAGTCCAGTTATAAAGAATCCATCAGCCACACCCTTGTGACTTACTATGTCTTAGATGTACTATTTTCAGTGACACGTTTATTTAAGAAAAAGAGAAAAAAGGACATGCATTTCTCCGGTTTTGAAAGGCACAGAGAAGGGCCCGCTCTCCTGCAACAAGCATGCAGATTTTTACTTTTGCTCAGATTTTCCAGTAATAGTCAGTGTCTAATCTATTTCTCACGTACACTCCTTTTCCTCTGTAATACTGGACGCCTCTACATCCCTGCTGCTCGCCAGCCGTCCAGACCACAACGCCCCTCAGAAACAAAATGAAACAAAGATCAAAGGCCCACATCTGCACCAAGTTAGCAAGAATCTGATCAAAACACAGCCCTTCCGGACACGCTCAAGTCCTCAAGTACCTCTCTGCGCTGGTCCCCGGAATCCCCTCACTGCCCCATTTCCAAGGTGATGCCCTGCACCCGTGCAGGAGGGCGACTCTGACCTCTGCTGTCCTTCACGGCTGCACTGGACAAGCAGGGGTCCTCGCTCCCCAAACTGCCCACTGACCGCGGGACCACGTCCCTCTTCTTACTTTTCTAAAATCTTTGGAAACCGCACACATTCAAGGCACACACCGGGGACGTGGCGAGGCCCGCGCACCCACCGCACACAAGCACACGGTACCATTTCCTGCGCCACGTCATCTGGGGTCTCCCTCTCCAGGTCGAAGGCGAACTCTATGGCCCCGCTGTCCTTGGGCTTGCCCTTCAGTTTCTTGGGGTCCTCGACCCAGAGCCGCAGGGCGATGGTGGACTTCCTGCCGTGGTCCTCCTCCGCCAGCTCCACCCTCACGCCCGTGTCCTCCGCAAAGAAGGCGTGGCTGAGCAGGTCCTTGATCTCGTACCTGGGGAGGGGATGGCTCTCAGGCAGGGCCCAGCACACCTGCGGAGGGGGCCCCGACACGGGGTGCAGGGCCCACGACCTGCCCAGTTCCCTCCGGAAGGTCCTCTGATCCTAGCCGGTGGGCAGTATTCACCCTTGAGGGCAGCACAAACCAGTTTACATCTGCATTCCCCGGGTTCCAAGGGAAGAGGAGAAAACTGCTCCTAAACACAACTAAATGGACACTATGTAAGATTTCTTTTCTTCTCTCATTATAAAAATGAAATGTCCCCATCATTAAGAGACTCAGGGAATTCAGAAAAGAATTTTCAAACCTGGCTCTGCACTGCGCAGACAAGACCTGCTGAGGAGCTGGGGACCTCTCAGTTGTCACAGGATACCCGGCTCCAGATAAGACTGGACCCAGAAGAGGCAGGCTCCCACCTTCCACAGCACATCACTGGGTGCCCTGAGGGACCCTGGCCTCAAGGAAGCAGGGAGGTTTTCCAGGGCTGCTCAGGATGGCAATGGGGGCTGGATGTTGCCATGGTAACCACTTTGCCATCCAAATTCGCATCCCTAAATGCTCTGGTGGTTCCTGTCTCTGGCAGGGACAGAGTGTGGGCTGTCCTGGGCCTCGCCTCCTCCCAGTGTCCTGTCTGTGGTCCGTGGTCACTGTGTGTCGCCCTCGAGTTCCAGGGGCCCATCCCTGACTGCTGCTGATGGCAGCATATCCCATGGGTGGGTGGAACTCATCCCCTGCACACGGCCACCATGCATGAAAGGGAGACAGTAGGGTGAGAAACCTTCAGGGAAGGCAAAAAGTGCCTGTGAGGGCCCTGGGGAAGGTCAGAAGCTGGGGCTCCTGGGAGCTCAGAGGTCACGACCCTGGGGCTCTCTGTCCTGGTCTGGGAGGTGGTCTCACAGGGTCTGCTCTGAGGATTCACGGCTCTATGTGGTTGTTTCTGTACTTTTCTGATGTGAGCCATATCTCAGTTTTTTAGTATTTTTTTCCTAAAAAAAAAACCATGATAACGTGCAGGGGGCAAGAGAGAAGGCCACTTGGATCAGGACAGGGCCTCTGCATGAGAGAGGACAGTAGCAGAAAAGGACAGTGACCAAATCTGGGCACAGGAATGGGGGGAGGGGGCGTGAGCTGGGTGTACGTGGGCAGGGAGGGCACATGAGGGGGCGCAGAAGAGATACAGGGGAGAGGAGAAATAGGGAGGGTGCAAATGGGCAGGAGAGGAGGGACATGAGGGAGAGAGATGGGAGGGCGGAGATGGGAGGAGGCAGGGAAAGAGGGGGAGCAAGGGAGGGGTGGGGGAGGAGAGAGGAGGGAGGAGGGCAGGAGGGAAAGAGGGAAGAGGAAGGAGGGAGGGAAAAGGAAGGAGGAAGGCTCAGCTTCCTGGCAGACCAGCTGAGGAAGGAGGGGCCCTGATCTGAGATGGGGGCTGGTTTGGGGGGCATCTCAAGGACTCTGAGTTGAACGTGGTGGTTCAGACAAACAGGTGCGTGAAGTACACAGCTGGAGTTGAAAGCGAGGGCAGGATGCGACTTGCTGGGGAGCCTGGGCATGAGGGTGTCCTCCAGGCCAGAGGGCTGGGTAGGGACACCACAGAAAGCAACCACGGGCAGAGGGAGGCCCCAGTCACCCTCATGCTCCAGGCTGGGAGGGCAAGAAACAGCCGGCAAAGGGGGTGGGGGCTCCAGGACAGTCCCCAAAGCCCAGGAGCATGTTCCCAGAAGCCGAGATCAAGCAGGGGCTGCCCACCAACTGCCCAGCGGGCTCGCTGGCACCCAGGACACCTGCAGCCTGACACAGCCTGCCTGCCCGCCGAAACGTGTCTCCTGGGAAGCAGCTGCAGCCAGGACAACAGCGCAGACCCCAGGCGGCCCGGGGAGCTCACCTTTCCTCCTTGTTTTTGCAGATACATTCCCCGATGATCTCCTTGATTTCAGGGTCGTGCACTTTCTCGAAGCTGGCCGGCTTGATGCCCTGAGGATGACATGAGCAGAGTCACCTGACACCCAGCTAGGGTCTGTTTCTTGCTCACCTCACACTAACCCCAGGAGAAGAAAAGCCTTGTTTGCGGTGGCCGGGCAGGAGGGCTGTTTCATTCTAAATCCCCACTGATGGGCTACTGAGAGTAGTGAGGTCTGGGGAAGAGAAAGACTCAGGGGAGACTCAGAGCAACCACCAAGGATGCTCGCTCTTTCCAGCCCAGCTCCCGGCAAGGGAGCACTTGCCCCCCTACCCCGCACAGAGGACGCGGAGCGGGACAGGGCACACCTGCTGGAGGCCACACACCGATCCGCCAGGGCCTCCCGTGCCAGCTGCTCAGAGGGTCTCAGAGGCGGGGCAGGGAATCCCACAGAGCTGGCCCTTCTCACCACATCCCACTGGAGGGTACAGAGGGCGCTAATGTGGTCACTGCTGGCCAAGGGCCACCAGAAACTCTGGCCCCACTGTGGTCACAAGTGGGGCTGACTTCCAAGGCCTGGTGGCTCGAGGGGTTTGCAAGCAAGCGTCAGTGTCATGGAATTCCTCTGCCAGCAGTGAGATCAGATGACTTTCAGACAGCAGGATCAGGAGGTGGCCGAGCATTCATGCTGACCAGAGACCCCGTGGGTGCCAGGGGTGTGGAGCCAGAGGCACGGAGGGGAACAGACCACACAAGAAGATGGGACTCCAGGAGAAGCAGGGGCTGGACTGTAGAGTTTATCTGCATTCTGCTTCGGGGAGGCAGGGAAGGGGGTTGAGGGAGGGGATCCTGGTTTTTAAACATTTTGAACACACTGAGGTCTCAACCATCACATTCTTCCTCCTTCAATGAGACTTTGCCTTCAAAGTATCCATCCTTTTTTTTTTAAGGTAGACAAAGTGAAGCATACATTTTCCCACAGAGACAGAGGGCTGGAGGGGGGCAGACCTGGGAGTGCAGGATTTCCAGCAGCTCCCACTACCTGGCTGGGGCCCCCTGGTGCCCACCAGAACCCCGACCAGGACCTGTGCCCACAACCAATGGGGGGGTCACATTGTGCCTGACATGCAGGGGCATCTGTGCAGCAACAGACACAGCACCCTGGGTTTTAGGGGCAGACAAGGGGTCCCCCTTGGAGGAGACCCTCCTGCCTTTCCACAGAAACCAAGAGAAAAAAGAGTTCAATTACGCCAGGAAGAAAGGCCATGGTCCAAGGTTGGCGAACGGGGTCTGGGAAAATACAAATTCAGGTAAGTGTATATATACACTTCACTTAAATTTCTGAAAGGCTGCGGCCCCCAAAGCAGGGGAAGAATGGGCCCGAAGCACAGTCAGGGCAGCTGAGAGCCAAGGGCGCCGAGACCCAGAGTCCCCGGAGGTGGCGTGGGTGCCGGAGGCTGGCCAGCATGCGGGTGCGGAGTGAGGGACCAGAGCACCCAGACGGTTACTGCAGAGGAAACACCACGGGTCAGGGACTGAACCTCTCATTTGACTTCCCCAAGGAGGCAGGATGGGGCCAAGCCCTGCTTTGCTCAAACCCACATGGGCCTACATAGGAGCCGTGGGACCCTGAGCAGCGTCCTACTTCCCAGACCTAAATGGGGGCAGCAGGGCTGCTGGGAGGACCAGGGTGGCGGAGAAGCATGTGCCTGGGGGGCTCAGTCCCTGTCTCCCTAAGCCCGGTGGGAGGACCGCCATTCTATCCACCTGTGCAACTAGACCAAAGTGAGCACACGCTCGTCCTGCAGCCCGGGCACCAGCATTCACCACAGCCCAGCAGTGAAGCCCTGACCTTCCCCGGGTCCCTCCCTGCCCCCCGGAGGACCAGTGCCCACAGCTGATGGGCCCAGCGCCACTGGGCAGCTACACACCTATCTGGGGGTCTCTGACCCACAGTCACAAGTGCCACTAATCAAGGCCTCCACCTTCCCCACCTCCCACTCTCAGCGGCACACAGGAGGGGCTCAGAGGAATCAAATGACTGAGAATTAAAAACCAAAAGAGAGAAACCAGCTGCAACCCATGGGGAGGGCTTTGGGTGGAGGTTGGGACAAGGGCGGGTGCTCTGGGAGTGCCAAGAACCATGGCTCCTCATGTTTCTGCAGAAGCAAGGCGGGTGCACTGGGGGCTGGGGGCAGGAAGCCAGCACCCCTGCGGTGCAGCCTGGTGCTTGCAGGTGCAGGTGGACGGTGAGGTACCACAGCCCCAGCTGCCCCACCCTGGATGCTGCCCCCGCGCTGCCTACTCCGCGGGACAGCCAGAGAGGGAAGACAGGATGCTGTTTGCACAGCTGAAACCATCCAATTAAAGCTGACAACTGCCTGGGGCCACGCCAGAAAGCGGGAGAGCCAGCAGCCCTCAGGAGGCACAGAGAAGGGGTTCTGTGGACGGGCGGCCTGGGCGCCTCCCAGAGAGGCCGAGTCAGTACTCCAGTCCCATCCGCCCCAAGCAAGGTCCCAGTGATGCCTCCGGGCACCGCCCTCGGCACCCACGTCACTGCTGCTGCCATTCCACCACAGCTTACAGAGCTGGGCTGTCACCCCACTAAGCCACCAGCTCCCCGTCTGTAAAATGGCTTACTTCCCTTCCTCACACAGCCTCCGTGAGGATTTCACGAAGTACACAGAGCCCAGCCCGGGACGCATGGCCCATCACGGGGGCCGGTGGACTCACACAGGTGACCTTCCTGTAGATCTGGGCAGCGTTCTGGCACTCGGAGTAGGGGTACTCTGAGGTGGCCATCTCGAGCATGCACATCCCGAAGGCGTACACGTCCACAGACTCATCGTAGTGCTCCTCATACATCTCCGGCGCCATGAACTCGGGGGTGCCTGTGCCCAGGAGCAAAAGATGCAGGGGTCAGCGGTCACTGGGCCACAGAGTCCCTTGGGCTCTCAGAGCCCCGTGCCTCCTCCCCCATCCACATGCCAGAGCTAGCTCCTCGCCTTTAGTCCCGGAATCCACGATTCAAACAAGATTTTGCTCTGCTGACAGAAGTTCCCCACAATTCCCCCTGGAGCCTAACTGCAGGTCAGGTCAGCTCACAGCACCAACCCGTGACTACAGAGCTGGGAGACCATTACTTCCCACGAGACAGGGTCTCTGCCGGAAATGACCCTGAGCACACCCCTCCTGGCCACCAGCCCGGATAACCTAGAGCAGACATCACCACGGTGCTACTTAAATTGCAAACACCTAGACCAGTCCCAATGTCCATCACGCAGCACAGTGACTGTCTCCCCTGAAGATGACTGCCTGGGGACAAAGGGCAGGTGCCATTCACCTGGCAGGTACCAGCGAGGTGTTATGGTGAGAACTGCTCATCGATTCTAAGCACAAGGGATTTTAAAATAACACTTATTCTGAACTTTTAAGGACATGGGAGACTTATAATAGGCTGAATAAAACAGACCGCACATGCATGCTGACCACCCCGTATAAAACAATGAGTTAAAATGACTTGTCTAGGAGGTGGGGTTACACCTGATTTTTTTCCTTCAGTTACACTTGTCTGGGTTTTTTACATTTTTCTGTGACGAACACTTGCTTTAAAAACCTTTTATTAAAGTTGGTCCAGCTGAGCATCTGTCAACTGAATGAGAAGGACAAGGGCCATCGACTTCAAAAAGGCTACTTTTAACTTCTCCATCTTTGTTGACTTTTGGAAGAGTCTCAAAATGTTCCAGTTGTTTAAAAAACCAGATGCAAAATGGCACAAACCATTGTGTTAAAAAGCGTGGGGGGTGGGGGGTCTGGGATGCAGGTAGATTAAGGGTAATTTTAATTTTTTTCATTTGTTAGTAGTTTAAATTTAAGATGCATTATATGTTTAACATTTTGGGTTTAAAAATGGGGCAAACAAGAATCTATGTTACAATTAACGGACATGCATAAAGAATTCTGGAAGATTCCATCAGAAATAATGAAGAGCAGAAAGAGGACAGGCGTTCAAGGGAAGTTGCACTGGGAATTTTTCATCCTTTTGGGTTTTTGAACCACATGACTGTACTGAAAATTTTCTGCACGCGGCCATATCCATCCACAGAAAAAACAGGGAGAAGGGATCCTCAGGGCTGCTCCCAAGAAGCTGGGAGCTGAGCCGGCCCGGGCGGAACCCCCACTCACCTAGTCAGGGCTCCCATTCATCCACCTCGGTCACTTCTGAAACCCCTGAGAACCAGGAATGCTGCTTTGCAAGAAACACCCCAAAGCCTCCAGATGTCCTGGCATTGCAGGAGTGGGGGTGGGCGGCAGGGGTGGAGGGGGCCCAGCTCCAGGCTGGGATGGTGGGGGATGCCACTTTGGCACATGTGCTTGGACCACGGACCCACCTGAACCTTCTCTTTCCTTACAATGCAGCCATTTAAATCTAAACATTAAGAAGAATGTGTGCGTGGTGGTGCACATACACACACGTGTCCAGTGACCTCTGGGCACACCTCCTCTGCACCACAGCTCCACATCCCCCACATCCCAGCCTCTGGGCCGTGAACACCTACAGGATGGACTGCGCCCACTCCACCTCCACCCACTCAGGGCTCTACCAACACAAACACAGTGAGAACATGCCATGATGGCGTCAGATCCAAGAGGCCCTCGGGGACAAACCCTACAAGGGTCATGTAACCTATAGCTGTGTGCCCATGGACACAGCACTGACCATGAGGACACTGCCCAGACACTGAGGATCTTCTCACCCCACCCATCCACCTCCAAGTTTGCTCGGCTGGCACAGAGCCCCCAAGGCCCCTTTCAGCAGGGGAGCACCTGGGAGGCTGCCACCACCAGATGTCTCAAATGGGCCACGTCTTACCTGCACAAAACCTAACGGCTGCGCCCAGGATGGGTGCCCATCAGCTGCCCCCACAGGTACCTGGACACAGCATGGAGGGGAAAGCCTCTTCACAGGCCTGGGGGAGCCCCTCACCTGACCACAGACCCCCACTCAGCTGATGGCCCCTTGCTGAGGACGGGACCATGCGGCCCAGGGCCTGTGGAGACACGCTGGCCAGCCCCCACTCACGGTGAGTGCAGAGTTTCCTGGGCTCCAGCCGAGCCAAGGCTGGAGTGACCGGGGACCCCTCCAGAGTCAGGCACCCTGTGTGGGGCTCAGGGCCCACTGTGCTGGCTGCAAACACCCACCTGTCACATCACCCAGCAACTAGAAAGCCTGTTTCCAAGAGGAGAAAGAGCTGCTGGCCAGAGAAACCCTGGAGGGCTCTGCCAGGTGCCCCACTTCCAAGGCCAAATCTGCAAAACCTGCCTGGACTCCTCCAGCAGCTCAGAGGCCCGCGGGGTGCACCCCCCACAGTCCTGGCCCCCTCAGCCAGGCCCTCACCCGCTCCACCCATTTCTCAGAAACGGAACTGAGGCCTGGGTCGCCCCGTACCCCACCACACAGCTCCCCTGGGCAGCCAAAGGCCCCATGTCCACAGGGCATCCCCAGCGGCCACCCCGCCCTAGGTGTCACATTCTGAACCCACTACCCTGCCACAGAAGTTTCCAGATTCCCAGTGGTTTCGTTTTCCAGAAACACGTCAAGTTCTGTCTCCAACCATACAGCAAAACCATGAACTCGCAAAGCCCTGAATCACTCTCTCAACCTGTGTCCGTGGGAAGAAGCCCGCACGCAGGGCCTCGGTTAGCAGCAGCGCCTCGCCTCTCCCAGCTCCACCCAACCCCACCTAACCCACGCTGCTGGAGCCACAGCCTGGAGCCACCGGACCCCGCAGCACCTGTGAACGGCTGCCCCAGAGCCCCTCCAAGCACTCTGTCTGCAAAGCCCATGGGAGGCCCCCGCCCAGGTCTGGTGGGGACACAGTGCCCACTGTGTACCAGGACCCCGCCTGGAGCTGGCACACGAGACGCAGACCCCATCTCAGAAAACCAGCATCCACACTGAATCCCTCAGACCCCCATGCTCACTCTGTGCCCCCAAACTATCCCACGGGCTCCCTTCTGTGAACCTCCAAGCCTGTGGCTCCCTCCCCACCCCACAGCCCTCTGCCATCCAGACCCCCTTGCCACTCCCAATACCCACAGCAGCCACAGCCCCTCAGGTGCCAGCCAGCCTCACCACCAGACCCAGATAGCTAAGAAGGTCACGTGCAGGGCTGCAGGGCTCACACCCAGGGCTGCAGCCAGCAGGGAGGTGCAGGGAGGCGCAGGGAGGGAGAGCAGCGCACCTCACTCTTGGAGGACGGTGACCTGGGGCACGCAGGGGCCCTGGGGCACAGGGGCACAGAGAGAAGGTCTTACCTATGACACTCTTGGCAAAGGATGCTCTCTTGAGGGTGGCCAGGCCCAAGTCGCCGATCTTCACAGACCCCGTGGGCCCAGTGATGAAGATGTTGTCGCACTTGAGGTCCCGGTGGATGATGGGGGGCGTCCTGGTGTGCAGGAACAGCAGGCCCTTCAGGATCTGCCGGCACCAGCTGCGCAGGACCTTGGGCTTCATCACCTTGAACCGCTTCAGGTACCTGAGGGTGGGGGTGCGGCTCACCGACGGCTCGTGTGGGGAAGGGGCGTCCAAGGGCTGGGGGTCGTGCATTTATCACCCCAATAGGGCTACTTCTGAGAGAGGACTGCCCCAAGCCGAGGGAGGCATGGCACCCCAGCCATCACGACTCCTGCACCCTGGGCCAAGCCCACCCCGAGGCCCCGGCTGGCTGGCTGGGTGGCACGCTCACGTCTTCAGTGTCCCCGAGGTCATCAGCTCGGTCACCAGCACGATGCACCGCTTCCCCCTGGCACTGGACTCCCAGAAGTCATAGAAGCGCACGATGTTGGGGTGCTGCAGCCCCTTCAGCATCTCGGCCTCCTCCTTGAAGCGCTGCCTCTCCAGTTTGGTGAGCTTCCGGTCCTAGAGAGAAACACACACAGGCTGAGAGGGACTCTGCCCGGCCGCTCCCTCAGCTCCTCACACAGCGCGCACAGCAGAGGGGAAGCACTGGACATCCGGGGTCGAGGGACGTCTGACCCAGTCCTGAGTCCTTCCCGTCCACCCATAGAGAGCAGAGCAGTCCGCTGACCTAGAGAGTAGCACAAGCCACTCCTGATTCTCCAACCTCTGTGACATCAGACCCTGCAGCCTCATCGACCCCCAGGGAGCCCCTCCCTGCACGGTGAGCTCAGCAAAAAGGTCCCCGGGAGCCAGCGACATCTTGAAAACCCATGCTCCGAAACACTCATGAGCTTTTCCCCTAAAAACACCTCTGAGGCCTTCCTCCCTCCACGCCCACTTACTGAGCATTGTTAAAAGAAAGACGCATCCATTTACTTCTAATTTACACACAACTTTGAGGACATGTTCACGACCACAGCAGATGAGAATCTGAAAACTAGGAGACACTGACAAGAAACAAGAAGCGTCAGCAGAGAAGGAAAAGCAGGGCCGCAGCCAAGCCCACATCGGGGCTGGAGGACACAGCAGACACACCTTCTGGGGCCTGGGAACACATGGGAGCACCGACCTGGACTTTAAGTTTAAATGGGGAACTGCAACCACACCATGACGGTGCTAGGAGCCAGCTGTGTGGTACCTGTCGCCCACACCTGTCCTCCAGCCACATCTCAGGAGGAAGACCACCGACACCCTCAGCACATCCCAACATCCCAAGAGCCTTCCCTGCCCCCGCCCACCTGCTCCAGCATCCCCCTGACCTCCATCCATCACCAACCCTGCCCCCTGCCTCATCCCACCCCTGCCACCTGGATCCCAGACCCTCCCCTTCCAAAAACCCCCCAAAGCGTTCCCACCACAGAGCGCTCAGAACAACCCCAAGAGCTCTGTTGTTTTCAAATTCACCTCATGGATGAACCCTACCTCTACGAGAGACGCAGGAGCTGAGAACCGGGGGGCAATGGGAACATTCTACGTGGTTACAGAGGACAAGGGTTACACCATGGCACGCACCTGTCAGAGCCTGTCGGCATGTACACTTCTCTCCCAGCCCGAGCGTGTGTCCCCAGCGTCACCTCCATCCCAGGCCCACCGGCCCACAGAGCCCACACCTGCACCCTCCCACCAGGAGGAATCTCAGAAGGAAACATAAATGCAAATGAGCACGAAACGGTGAGTTTTGAGAAGCTCCAGGAAGTCAGAAGTGGGAAAATTTGGACAGACGGAGGGAGAAATTAGAGCTGAAAGGAAACAGACCAAGACCCCTCAAGTCCTTTGAAGGACAGCAGACACCAAGCCAGACTGCAACCAGTCCACAGAGAAGGGGGCCCTGGGACCGTGACAAGGTCACCCGGTTAGGGAGCCCCATCCCACGTGGCACTGCACGCACTGCGCATCCTCCCTCCCGCCAGCCCCACCCCCACAAACCCTCCGTCAGCCGCGTCGTGCACAGGTGGGACTGACGGCATGATCACCAACAGAACAAAGAAACACCGAGGCTGATCCCAGAAAAGCAAATCATTCAGGGACAAAAGGAACTTTCAAAAAATCTAGTTCATGTCCTCAGGAGGTTCCAAGATGCTGACACACATAAATAAGAGGAAGCTTCTACCTAAATAGGAACAATCAAGGAAGAGCTTCGGCAAATTAAAGCTCCATATTTTAAAAAGAAGATACTCTGTAATGCAGTGAAACATTAAACACCAGAAGCTACCTACCCCTTAACCAAGACAATAACACGGAAATGCGTTCTGCTCATCAAAAATGATTTGTTTGGGGGGGAGGGAGGGAGGGAGGAATGAATAGATGGAGCACAGGGGATTTTTAGGGCAATGAAGTTATTCCGTATGACACTATAGAGGTGGCTACGTGTCATTATGCATCTGTCAAAACCCACAGAATGCACAACATCAAGAGTGAACCCTAATGTAAACCATGGACTTTGGTTGATAATAATGTGACCATGTTGGTTCATCGATTGTACCAAATATGCCACACTGACAAGGGATGTTGAGGGTAGGGGAGTACATATGTGTGGGTGGGGAGGCCTATGTGGGAACTCTATTTTCTGCTCAGTTCTGCTGTGAAACTGAAACTGCTCTAAAAGAATAAAATCTATTAAAAAAAAGAAAAAAGAAATAAATAAAAATAAATGAAAAAAAAGATTTGTTTAAGAAAATAGTTCAAGCCACCAACTGGGAGAAGCTACTGTCAACACATATATCTGACATGAGACTCACATCCAGAATACAGACAGAGCTCCTGTACCTCAGTTATAAAGACACGAACAGAGAAGCCACCGGAGAAGATGCACACGTGGCCGACGAGCACTTGAAAACATGCTCAGCATCATGAGCCACCAGGAAAATGCCAATCACAACCCCAGGGCACCACTTCACACCCACCAGAAGGGCTAAAATGAAAAGAGGGATCATTGCGACCACGGGGCGGTCCAGACCAGCTGAGTCCTCTGGGCACACGTCTGCTGGAAGAGCAAGCCTCCGAGAGCCCCCGGCAGGTTCACGCACACTCTAGGTCCAGCCACTCCCCTCCAGGTACCCACCCCAAGACAAGGGACTGAGAACAGCTCCACCTGTAATATCTCCGAAACGCAGAACTAACGTGTGAGGCTGAAACCAGAACAAGTGTTCGCCTCTAGGGCCGGGGGAGACGCAGGAGCTGAGAACCGGGGGGCAATGGGAACATTCTACGAGGTAACAGAGGACAAGGGTTACACCATGGCACGCACCCGTCAGTGCCTGTCGGCATGTACACTTAAGATCTGTTTCATTATATGTAAGTTATACTTCAGTTTTTCAAATGTAAAAAATTAAATGAAAGCAGCATCAGAAAACTGAATGAGAGAAATGGAAGAAAAACATCCAGAGGCATGAAAGAATGAGCTGGAAGCCCTACCAACAGGGAACAGGAGTTAAAAGAGGAGAGAACAGATCAAGGAGAAAGGGGAACAGCATCTCCTGCGTGAAAGGAGAACTATTTAGAATAAAGGCACGTGCCGCGGCCAGAACCCACCTCCAGCCTCATTCCAGCAAAATTCAGGCTCCCAAGGACAGAGAGCAAGTCTTACCCGCCGAGGAACACCCAGGCAGGCACCCTGGCTCACCAGCAACGCTGGCAACATCTTCAAAGTGCCGACTCGGATCTGGATTTATACAACCAGCCAGACAACATCAAACCATGAGGCCCAAAGACTCGTTCTCAGATACCTGAGAACCCAAAGGTCGCTTCCCAGAACCCCAGGTGAATCAGCTACTGGAAGAAGCGTTTTTGCAGAACACGCAACAACACAGAAGGGGCCTTGGCAAAGCCAACCCCACTGGCCTGCGAGAGGGGACTGAGCTCGGCTGCACTGCGTGAAGGAGGCCAGGAAGGCCCCCGCTGTGCCCCGCTGTGCCCCTCCCAGCCCCAGCAGCCAGCCAGCTCTGGGCAAGGACATTTCCGCTGCAGTTCCCCTCCAGTGGTCTAGTCACTGATCCTAGAGGAAACTCACAGGATTACTTATAGTCATAAAAAAATTGTTTTTGTCAGTGTTTCAGCATCAACCAACAGCAAAGTAAAAGATTTGATTACAGTTTCAGAGCAAAAGGTTCATGTTATAAGTACCGTAACTGACAAAACCTGAGAGGGAGAGGGAAGTGCCCTGCTGATGCTTCAGTCTTTGTTTTTAGATACCGGTTAGGTTCAAGTATAACACAAGTCAGATCTCTAACGACGGTGCTTCTTGGAGCTGGGCTGGGCGTGAGGGTGGGAGGCAACAGACCTCATTTTATGTTCTGAGCCACGGGGCTATTTTTAACTAGGTGACACACTGCTTGATAATTTAAAAGGTCAGCTGGCATGTCCTCAGAGCACTGCCCAGATCTGCCTGCAGTGTGCTGCCCAGTGTCCCCTCTCAGAGCTGGTCGGGGTCCTTGTCATTGTTTGCTGATCACTGGTTCACCCAGTTACATCAGTGACTCCATGAAGTCAGGACCACCCCAGTGACTGGTGCGTCATCACTGTTTGTGGGGTGGATTTAGTAACTGATGTGCTCGGGGCTCGGGGTCGTGAACCAGGGTAGGAAGAGAGCGTCTGATCCCTTCAAGACCCCCAAATCCTGCCAGCATCAGGTGCTGAGGTCTGGTGTTGAGGGGGTGGGCTCTGGCTGCTCACACAGTATCACTGTGGGACAGTTCACCCCAACCAGAGAGGGACGTGAGGTCACTTAGACCAGGACCCCTCCCACCCGGTCCCTGGTGCTGGGTAAATTAGTGGCTCCTGTTTCCCCAAAGATGATAAGAGTCAGTCAGATTATAAAGGATAAGAGCATTTTCGGACAATGCTGGCTTTTGTCTCCTATAGGGAAAAGGCTATTCATGGCACCTCTAAGCGGGGGCAGGGAGGACGGGTGGCCAAGGGGGTCAGAGGAGAAAAGCCTTGGGTCTGACAGACCTTCCCATGACAATCACGGTCACCAGCTCCACCCTGGCGGCTCTCAGGGGATTCGGTGGCTCCTCTCACCAGGCAAAGCCCAACCAACTCCATAAGGAGCAAGGCTGCCTGGTGACCCCATGTCCAGCCAGGGGAAGGCAGGGTCCACACACTCAGAGCAGAGTGGGACGTGAGCAACTGTCGGAGAGTGCCCAGAACAAGCACAGCCGGAGTCCTGGGCTTGACAACCCGGGCCTCCCTCCAACCCCATGTGCTCATACAGCAAAACAAAAGCAAGCCTCAAGGGTCTTTGTTGGGAACAGTCCCATGTACAGGGCATCACCCAGGCCAGGGGCTCCAGGGACAGAGTGAGCCCGGAAGGGGGCGGGGGTGGGGGTGGGGGTTCCCTGGCCCTGCCCAGTGTTCTCTGCACACTCTAGGCCCCAGATGCCCCGGTGGGAAAAACGTTCCCAGGTCCGGAGGATCTGACCCAGGCTCCCGCTGCTGCAGAGCTGGCACCCTCCTCGCTG